TGCAGCATTGTTGGCATGAGTATATTCAGGTTGCTCAACCTTTACTTGAAAAGGGAGGATATTAGTCTTTTCTTTCACTCTCACCTCATTTGATTTTTCAGACGACTCTAACTCTTTCCGTCTCATTTTAAACTCAACGACAGTTTTCTTAAATCGACTCTCTTTGGCTTCAAGTTCACGTGAACGTTTCTGTACCAATTTTTGGAGTGAACTAAAATTCTTCTCTTTCACTTCACATTCTTTAAGGCATTCCTCAACCTTCTTATACATCAAATCGAGTTCCCTCGATTTTGATTCACATAACTTTTCCTTCAATTCGAGCTCCTTTAAGCAACCTTCAATTTTCATCTCTTTCATCTCAAACTGTTGAGCGCATTGGTCAACTGATTGTTTCAGTGAAACAAATTTCCTCTCTTTTAACTCAAGATGTTTCTCAACTAAATGAAGTTGCTTTTGTTTCAACTTGAGTTCATTCGAGCATTCGGCTATGGAATTCCGTAAAGAATTAAGATTTTCCTCTTTCAACTTAATCTCTTTCTCACATTCATCAATGGAGCTCCTACACATTCTGAGTTGCTCCCCTTTCAACTCGAATCCCTTCTTACGTTCCTCAACCGACCTCCGAATCGCATTATATTCCCTATCTTTCAACTCGATATCGTCTTTGTAACTCCTCAAACTCCTCTGCATCGAATCAAGTTCCTTCTCTTTGGACTCTGCTTCCTTAGATTGCTGCTTTATCCTCTTCTCCAAGGACTCCAATTCCTCCTCTCCCTCTTTGATCAATTTCTGAATCGCAACATATTGCCTCTCTTTAACCTCAAGCTCTTCCCGGTTTTCCTGAATCAGCGATTTCAGAGAATCAAGATGTTGCAAACTCAATTCGAGAGCTTTCGCCTGTTCTCCGATCAACTTCTCGATACCCTCCAATTCCTTCGCTTTCGAATCGAGATTCGAGCTTAATTCCGCCTCTCGAGCCTCCAATTGCCTCTCTCTACTCGCGACGTGCTCCTCGCGTTCAATGAGGCCTTGGAGTTGGGTTCGCAGCGACTTGCGAATGGACTCGAAGTGGTTCTCCAAGTCCCTCCATTGAAGACTGAAGACGAGCATCGAAGAAGCCTGGGAATGGAATTCTTCGTGCGCTTTGCAGAGAACGCCCTGCTTCAACTCCGAGATTTTCAAATCGGAGGTTATCTCCTCCGCCCCCATTAGAGAGATAAACTCACACAAACTGTTACAGACGAAACAAGAAGAAAGAAAGAAAGAAAACTAAAAACGTCAAAACACTAAACATACATACAAGTGGGCATAGCCCTAAACGTGTGGGAGCCGCTTCATGTTTTCTCAAAGACGATAGCCGCAAATTAAGGATAGAAAGGAAAAGAAGAAAGA